GTACAGCCTCTGTTCTTGAACACACCCAGCAAACACTTCAAGGTCTCTGAAAGTGAATTGTACTACTTATATATCAGATGTCATTTAAGATTACAAAATCACTTCTATGCTTAACTGGCAATAATTGGTCCTCATAGCAAAGTATAGATATTTTATAGTACAATTTATCTAAAACCAATGCTGTCCTCATTGTTATCAGAATATACTGGCAAACCCAGTGACTTACTTTGGTAAGCTATCAGCTGATAATTGGTCTCAGAATAGAACTTGTGTTTTTTTGCTTTTTCTTTTTTTTTTTTTTAAGAACAGCAACCTGATAAGAGATTGTTTTGCCTTCAGTGGAATAGCAAGGGGTACACAGAGAAACGTTTCCCAGTGTGGGAAAACACTGCTGAGTTTTCTGTTCCTAATTCTGCTGGTTTTGCTGCTATTGCTTTATGATGTCAAGAAACTAGGAGAGATGAATATGGATACTAGAATCCTACTTTATTGAGGATACAGTCAACCCAGTGGGCTTCTGCACTGCTTCCTTATCCCATTGGGCTTCCATATTGAGCAACCTTCATCAATATCAGCAAGTATTTACAGAAACAGGCTCTTTTATTATAGCAACACAACTTAGAATCGACCACTATGGCTCAACTTACAAAACGTGGGAACTTTTAGGCTGCCAGGGAGTTGACTGCACTCTCGAATAGTCCAAACAAACAGGACAACTCCATAATAGTCCTTTACTGGGAGGAGTGGAGTCACAGCTCCTCCACCAGTTCCAGAACTCCTCGCAGGTGTGCCATGCACAGATTGCTACAACAAGGGTACTGGATGCAGGCACTCAGCTCTCCCTGGAGTAGAGTAACCTGAGCTCTTTTCCCTGCTATCCCTCTATAGTCACCCATAGCAGCGGCTGTTCCATAGGCATAGTACTCTTCCTTAGAGGCACTGCCAAAGTCTATATGGACATAGCTGGGCTCTCCAGAGTAACGAGGAATGGAGGCAGGTGGGATAGGAAGAGGACTGGTTGGTGTGCATTGAGTCAGCTGCCCGTGAGATCTTAGCTGTGGGCCACTTTCCCCTTCTGCTTCCTCTGCCAGCAGCGTATGTGTCACTGGTTCTCCAGCCACTTTGCCTTCTGCCACCTTGCCTCATCCTGCCATAACCAGGCTGCCGCCTCCTCCTCCGACACCGCAATAATTCCTCCCAATGCCCAGTGTCAGGGTCCCAGCAACAAATGGTCTCCCAACCTGCTGTTGAACACTCCAGCAACGCCAGCACCTCCTGGACCTTGAACGCCTTCTAGTCGATAGTTTCTGCCCAACTATCCTCTTCTTCCACCTCGCTCCCCTCCTTAAATCTCCAGTCCACCATGGCTACATGTGTGGCCTCCAAGGCATCATCCACAGCTGCATTGCCAACACCCAGTCCACAGGCGAACTTTGGGTTGAGAATCTTGCCTTGATTCTCAGGGAGGTGGGGAGCCTGCTCTAGCCAGCAGGGGGAGGGGGGGTTGGGGACAGTCCCACAGGTACAAAGGAAGGGTTTTTTTCCTCCACAGCAAGCATGGAGCCAAACAAGTTGGCAGAAAAGTCCAAATGACACTCCCCCCCCCCGGAGGAAATCCATGCAAGACATATAAGTCAGTGTAGCTTGGTTTATTAATCTTTTTTAAAATGTTCTTGTACTCACAACATTGTGTTCTCCTGGGCAAACAAGATAATGTGTAGATATGATGGAAGATCTGTCCTCAGATATTCCTGAGTTCATACTTGAGAGACACACCTTCTTTGCAAGCCAATCAAAGTCTGCGTTCATTTGTGGGTGGCACTTTATGTTGACATCGAGATCACCTTTTGCCTAAATGGAAGGAAAAAACTAGACCTATTTACCCTGACACTTGTACTATTTATTTACTAAGGTCACTGACACAGCTAACAATAAAATACAAATGAAACAAATACATTTCAAATATAAGAACAGAATTTTTTTTAGAAAATGTTATTTTTTGAAAGACCACAGCATCCAACCAGTTAAAGCCCCTGTGGTAACAACCTAATGTAAATAACATATTCCTTTCTGAATAAAATATTTTTTGCTTGCAGATAGAGACACAGCGCAGAATTCCCTTAACAGGGAATTCCAGAGTCTGAGCTTGACATTTAAAAAAGGTATCTTCCATGTCCCCACCAAATGGGCTTCCAGTGATATTGAAGCAAAGATAAAGAACTTAACTAGGATGCAATCTGCTTGTTCAGTTTTGGGATATTGCTGGAATTTTATCTGTTCTTAATACAACTCAGAAATGTTTTTGATAATTTGATATGTTCCCCAGGTTTCATTTTTTTGAGCAGTACATTTTCATATGGGAGCCATCTAGTTTGTTTCTTTACTGCATATGCCTGGCCAGTAACCTGGTTGTTCGTTCCTAAATGCAACTTGAGTTGAGAACTGTTGATGGGAAGGTTATCAGAAGCAGAGATAATTCTGGGAAGGGATGACTTGATGAAGGAGGCGTATCAAACAACATTCTGTCCAAAGATAGTAGTGCTGATTTTTGTCATAAAAACTTGTAAATCTCCTTGTCAGTCAGATTTTGTGCATATTAAGGTATTTATATTGCTTTTGACCAGTGGTTCCCAATCTTGGGTCCCCAGATATTCATGGACTGCAATTTCCAGAAATCCTGGTCAGCACAGCTAATAATGAAGGTTTCTGGGATTTGTAGTCCAAAAATATATTGGGACCCATGGTTCTGAACTACTGCTTTAGACTTTAACTTGTTCTTGAAAATGAGGTGTTAAACCTCAGCCCAACCTCTTCTCTTATAAATCCTTGTACAAGTTTTGAGGGGAGATTAATATTTAATATCCCTGGTCTACTAACCATCCTGTTTTACTGCCTATCAAAACGGAGAATCTAGATTAGGGAAATGAGTTGGTACATTATGTTGCCCTCATACATAGGCACTTTAAGGACAGAGGATATCATAAAACTCAGAACAACTTGTATCTTGTCAGAATATACATATTGAACACAGGAAAGGTGGAATTAATGTGGCTGGTCAAACAGGTAGTTGCATTTTATTGACATTTTGACGTTACAGATCAACTTACCTTTTCCCCTAGTTAATATTAAACTGGCTCTATTACGCCAGGACTCCAGGGACACAGCCCTTTCTCTTCCTTGGATCCCTTCCACTACCACAAATGTCTAAACAAAGCAGAACTTGTTTGTGGTGTTATCTAAACTGGGAACCAGGATTCATAAACCAGCATTAGTTTTTTTAATTGAAGCTATGGTTTGTTTGAAAGCAACAGTTCAGACACTGTGCCACACAAAGCATTTCTAGTTTGTTTTCTTTATCTCCTCTTAGTAATGGGAACACCCAAGTGGAAGCTTATATACAACACTATTATTGAAGTTAGTCAATGAATCTGAATGGGGATTTTTTTTGTAAAGACCCAAACCTTCTAAGAGTAAACAGTAATTTTACTGTTTCTGTATATTGGTATTGCTCTGATTCAGAGCTTCAAGTGATTTTCGGTATATATGGAAATTGATAACCGATTTTTGACAGAAGACAACAAGGTCAGTATAGAGTAAGTATACCATTAAAAATCTAAGAACATAGTACTGTGTGCAGGTTCTATGGGATAGATGCACAGTCTTAGTGGTGAGTTCCAGATTTGGAGATGAACTCATGACACTATCTGAATTTGCCTGGAAATGGTCATTCTGATTTGTATTACCTTGCAGAAGTCCGTGGACAAAATGGATAGGCCCCTGCTCACAAGGCCACCCCATATAAAAACAGACTGAGGGAAGGGAAATGTAGGCAAATGCATTTAAAATGTGGCTATATGTGGGCACAAATATTAGGTCAGAAATCATAACTAAGAGGTGGTTTGAGGAGTTATAATAACAATCACCATCATCTTAGAACTGCAAAGCTGGAAGTGACCCTATGAATCATCAGGGCCAGCCCCTGTCAAGGAGGCATGGTGTGAAATCCCAACCTCTGGATCTGCAGCCTGATGCCTAAGCCACTGAGCTATCCTGTTCAAAGAGACAGTTTGACATGTAGCAAGGGAACGGGTGGCTTCATTGAAGGGGTAGTCAGTGAGTCCTCTGACAGTGGTGGAGTCAGGAAAGTAAAGGTCAGAAGGTGGGAGGAAATAAGAAACAAGGGCCAGAAGGTAAAGTGGGATGGGGTTATAGGGAAGACTGTTCAGGTGAGGGCCTGGTGTTTCTGTTGGATGTGGAACTAATGGGAAACCAGTGAAAGGAAAAGCGGATAGATATCACATGGTCTAATCGACAGAAATGAATATAATTTTGGCAGTGGATTTTTTGACATACAAAAAGAAAAGCCAAGGAAGTGAGGGTTGCACTAAACAAGTGGCAGATGTTGACAACATGAACCAGAAAGTTTAATGTAAGTGACTGAAAGGAACAAGTGCTGTACAGGAGCATGATGTAAAGAGAGAAGGTGCATGCCTTTGCACATACAAACATGTGGGTAGCAAAGGAAAGGGAAGAATCCAAGATGAAACTACATTAGCATGCCATGTTGACAGTTACTGAACAATTGAAAGTTATTTGGGGTGGGCAAAGCAGCTGGGTGGAACGGTTGGAGTGTTAGATTAGGACTGGAGGGACCTGGGTTCACATCTCCATTCAGCTGTGAAACTCAGTGCATGACCCTGAGCCAGTCACACCCTCTCAACCTAATCTACTTCATAGGGCTGTTTTGAATAAAAAAGTTGGGGGGGGGAGGAGAGTCATGTGCATTGCTTTGGAACAGAAGTCAGATGTACAGTAGGTGTAACAAAATAAGTAAAATTAAAGCAAGTTTGAAAATAACTGATCCTAGTCTTTGGAACACCCAAATAAGTATTTTTTGCAACAACAGGCTAGATTATATACAGTAGTAGTAAGTATGCACCACAGCTCATTGCCTGGATTATTTTGACTAACTCTCTTGCTTATCTTTTTAATTTTATTAGTTCAAAGCCTATTTCTTCACCTGTGATCCTCCAGTTTGGGCATGCAGAGACCCTTCAACCCCTCCTTGCTCTGATGGGTTACTTCAAAGATGACGAGCCTCTTAAAGCACACAACTACCATAGACAGATGCACCGGAAGTATCGTAGCGGTCGCATCGTCCCTTATGCCTCAAACCTGTTGTTTTTGCTGTATCATTGCGATCAAACCAGTTTTCCAGAGGAGGAATACAAAGTTCAGATATTGCTCAATGAAAGGCTGCTGCAGTTTCCACACTCAGGGGAGACTGTTTCCTTGTACACCAGTCTGAAAAACCACTATAAAGACCTGCTTCAGAACTGCAATTTTGCTGAAGTGTGTGCTATGCCAAAGAACACTACTTGGATTGATTAACCGTTAAAACGGATACAATAGGAAAAGTATTATGGACTTAAGTGAGTGTGTAAGTTCTAAAGGAAATAGACTTTTGGAAAAAAAAGTCAAGGTTCTAGCCAAAGCACGAGCCTGTTAAAAATCCGTAAAGCATCTGAAAATAATTTTTGTTATATATTTGGGTGTGAACAACTACCTTTCTAGAATCTAGAATTTCCTAGGAGGAAACAATCAGTGCAGAATTTTACTCAGCAGTGATGCTAAATACCTAAGTGTTATTATCAACCACAATTACTGCTTTGCAGAATAAGTAGTTGTTAAAAAAATATGTACAAACATCTCTTACAACTTGATATATAAGACATTTCACTTGGTTTTCATATAATGTTCGGACAGAACTTCGGCCTCACCTGTAGTCATATCACCTACATAAGTACTTCCTCTCTGCATAGAGGATTTTGGAGACCTATCACAAAATTTATATATCAAGGGTAGCACTTTATCTTTTTCCATTGTTTAGCCTTCCTGCTGTTTGCTTTTGCTTTTAAGTGTTAGAAAGGTTCTGCCTAATAAGAACGTGGCTTCCTTCTATAATGATAAACAAAGTCTGATGGTATTTGGGCAGAAGCCAGTCTAAGTTAGTCTGATAGTTTTCTGCAATAGTAAGATTAAGGAAAATCGGACTGAATGCAGGTTCAGAGAACAATGTATTGAGGCTTGGGATAGTAGTTTATATACTGTGCATTATAAAAGGGAGTAGCCTATACTCTACATTATAAAAATAATTTGCCAAACTTTTATAAGTTTTCCCTTTTAAAACCAATTGTGTGAGGAAACTGTATATCCACTTTTTGTTGCAGAAATTATAGTGAATCAATAATTTAAATATTAATAAGCTCAAAATCAGTGAACATCATCTCTTTAGTCATTTGTATGTGTGTGCTGTTTCTGTATAGATCCATCCCTTGAAATTGGATGGGTTTTAGTCAGGGAGCATTCTCAGATACAGTATTGTTAACATTTTTAATGCTACTTTCAAAAATCATGTTTTTAAGAGAAGCACTTGGATATTTAGAACAAATATCCAAAACAGGATAGTTTGGACATTTATGTAGGTTAGAATTAAAGATATAAAGTAACTTCAGAAACCTAGGTTGAAGTTGGAACTAAATGCTGTAGAAGGTATTAAAACAAGCTGTATTAAAAAGTAGACGTTAGACCCAGGGAACCTTAAATAAGCATTCAAAGATTTTTATTTCTAAAAGAGAGCTTTATCTTTTTGGACCATTTGGGGAGGGGGCTCTTAGTGTGAGACACAAAATGAAAAAAATTCTAAGAATAGTTTTGTTTATAAGAGAGCTCATCTATTTCTGATACATACAACTGTTAAAGCAATCCCATAGAAGAAGCAGTGGGTATGTGCATTTACCAGTTCAGCTAAATGAAACCAATATTATGCACTTTGGTGCAATACAAAGGAGTCTATAGCTACTTCCAGCTTAAGACAGTTCACCTTTTTGTGCTTTGTTAAGCTCTGTAGCATTTATTGTCAAAAAGCTGTTTTCATTTGGATAAAAATATATGGAGTATTTGTGATCTGTGTCCTTATGCTATCTGCTTAAGAGTTTTTTTTAATTTCATTAGTTTTGATTAAAGGTCCTGCACAGAAATCTGCCATGACTTTTGGAATATTTGTATGTTGCTGTTTTTCTGCACCATCCACATTGCAGAGGAGCCAGCCTGATGAAAACATATGGGGGTTGAAAGCCGGCATTTTGATTGATTGAATTTAGTGGTCTAATAAAGGCATCATCTGCTCTTGCTTTTGGTTGAAGCTACAATTCACTTCATTATTGCAGTCCAAGGTCATTTTAGTAATATGTACATTAGCAGATTATATGCATTAGAAGTCACAGACAGTATAGCTGCAGTTGCATGCCCCAGGACATAGTTTGTACTGAACGACAGTCAGTCAGGTGGGAGGCCGTAGTGATTGGAATATGCAACAAGCATCACCTAAAACACCACTCTTGTGACTTACAGTACATGAATCTCAACTTCTCTCAGGTAGTGTTTTCGGATACTGGAAATATGGAAGGGAGAGAAAGTGAATAAAACCTGGATCTAGCTGAAGTGCTTGGTGGAAAAGCACCATCCAACACTTTGGCCAAGTACCCAGTGACAATGAGCTGGTATATCCACATTCCCAATATCATTCAGCCTGTGGAGGGTGAGAGAACAATCTGTCACTATGGTGTATCCCACTCCTTTTTAAAGACATGGTTCCATCAACCCAAAATGATGTTGAAATGTACTATGGACAGTGCATCCACCAATAGAATGGGGAGGAAGTGACTTTTCACTGTCTCCCTTATCCTGAAGCCCCTCATGTCACTTCCCACCTTGTTCCAGAGTCTTCCAGCCCTTCTAAGCATATTTTGATGGCCATGGCCACTTCATCACATGCATCTGGTGCAGGCCACAGAAATTTATTTGAAATAAAATGTGGTAGTCTTCAAAATGTCACAAAACCTATTTTTGCTTCAACTGACTTAATGTGGCCATTCCCATGGAAATTGATACTTGCATGTCAAGTTATCCAAAGGAAAAAGAAAACATGTTAAAAAAAAAGTTTGGCACTCTAAATATCATCAGACTTTGCAACATGTTAACTTTCATCATTTAGCTACAGTGTGTCTACATTGCTGGGTCCCGCGCCCCCCCTCACATTTATTTCATTTATTTTGGTTTCCCCAGTTCTTATTTTGTAATTTGATTTTATGTCAGCCAGGATGTCTCTGCCTTCTCCCTCTCCACCTGGCTGAAGAAGGGCAACTGCAGGCAGGTCTTTCTCCTTAGTTTTTGTCCCTGTTCCTGACTCCTATGTGTCTGGTGTGCCAAAATATTTCCTTCTGCCACATCCTAGAAAATGGAGCAACCTCACAAACTGCCTTGCAACATATACTAAGGCCCGGAAAAAAAACAGGCTGCATTCTTGAATTTCAAAAGAGGAACAAGCAGGAGAGGACTAATGGCTGCTTCCAGCTACTATTTAGCACAGAAACCAGATGCAAACTATATCACTCCCCCTCCCTCTCCTTTGCTCCCCCCTCCCCTTTATTTGCTTCATTAAATATCTTTTCTCTTTATGAGATTGAGGAACTCTGAACATTTGCTTGCATTTTGTAAGCTTTAGATTGGCCCTATATATTTAATCATATATATTTAAGGGAATTATTAATGGACTGCTGCTCCACTTAAAGGCTATTTCTGTTTTTGCAGGAGAACTTTAGATGCCGATAGACAGGAGCAGGTTTTTGATGCTTGATCCTAGCTAGTCTCTTTGTGAAGGTCTAGAATAGAAACATTAACATTTTCTTCTGGGATTTAGGGAATAACAGGAGAATGGTTTCCTGAGCATAATAGGAATTTTAATTTTGTCAAGAGTATGGGTGGGTTTTGCCAGCTCTGCATCTCACTTGATAACCCTTTCCTGAAGCAATCCTCTACATATACCCACTGAGAGTTTCCAGTAAAAAGATAGTATTTTTTATTTCTGGAGAATACAAAGAAAAATTATCTGTGAGTGACCTTATTGTACTGCACCAGCACCAAGTCTTGTTTTAGGAAATACTGTAACAACGCTTCAGCAGACTCTTCACTTAAAATGTTTTATCTTTACAGTACAGAATGCAGTCACTTTCTAAACCTCCAGCCTTACTTGCTATACCATGGGACACCCATATCCAAGGGATCTGTATCCAGAGTTTTGGTTTGCCACAGTTTATTGCAGCCCTATATACATTATACAATGGGTGGGCCTTGTGGACTTAGTCCCACCTCTTTGTATGTTGTTACTATCCATCGTTTCAGGTATTCGTGATAGATCATGGAACGGATTCCCAACAAATATGGGGCGCAATTACAGTTGTGTGTTAGATGACTGCTTTTAAACCATTCAGTCATGTGACATGTTTAAATTTTGCTTAGAAAATATGAGGATATGTTCTTTAAAGTTGGATCAGCTTGGTTTTTTTAACTTTACAATGTGAGCCAAATGGTGCTGTCCTTAAGATTTAAATTGAACTCCTTACCCTGTCCTAATGTAATGTTCATCTGGAGTTATGTTTCACATATTCTGTGAGACTCACAGCTGGTATCTCCATGTTTTATTATTTTTACTAATACTAACATAATAAATGTTTACACAACTGGTTTTGGTAAACCATTCCCAGAGGTAGTTCCTTATAACTTATTAAGAAATGCTCACATGGCGTTTGTTTTACATAAGTCTTTGTGTGGATTATGCAACTCTGTTGTAGAGTCAGGTTTCTTGTTCCTACTTATTTCTGCTTCCCATTTTGCAGCAAATGCAAAACAGCTTTCACAGTGGAGACAACAGTTTGAGATGAAAATACTGTACTGTATATTTTTCTTCAAAGAAATTAAGCTTGTACTTTAAAAATGTCAGTGATAAGAAGTTATAATTCCTTATCTAGCAGCACCCATACAGAAAGCTGATTTCCTTTTTCCCTACATCATGATAGCGCAATGATGTGGAAGAGGGGTGGGAGAGAAGGGTCAGGATTTAGTCCCTTCTCACATATGTTATTAGGCGTTGTTAAAATTTGCCGCCAACACTCAGTCTAAGGATTCCTTTGGGTAAAATTTCGGTCTAATAAGATAATACAGTGGATAAGGAGAATTCTGAGCATACAGAAATTATATAAACTGTGTGTGAGATATTGCATATTAAGGGGGTTAAATTTGAAGCAGCAATCTACTTTTGATCACATTTCTTGCCTCTCCCAAGGCTGTCACATTTAAACATAAACAGCTGTATTCTATGCTCTTCCTCAAACCCAGTTTTTTTAAAACAAACAATGGAAGTTTGACATGGTTCTTTCTCACCCTTCAAAACTATTCTTTGAAGAAGAAAGGGTTTAGTTCAATCCATCTAGTACCTTGAGAATAAAGGGCAGGGATTTAAGAAGGTGACTTATTTGAACAATAGCTTTCACAATTGCTAGCCAGTGTGGTCTTTTGGGGGACTCTTAGGATGTCATTCAAAAATAGCAGTATTCTCAAGCTCTGGTTAAAGGTTTTACAAAGAAATGGACAAATAGATTCTGTTCTGTTGTCAAAATGCAGAGCACATGCTATGACAGACCCTGCAGGGGAAATTTAACCATGACCTGGCACATTCTTTTCAAGAATTTGTCATTCAAGGAATAAACATGGCTTGCATCAATACTTGCATATGCTTCCCTGATGCATACCTACAGCTGTTCTTACTCTTAACGCTATCCAGAGAGAGGCTCTCAGTGACACCCAGGTGTAATGAGAAGATTTAGCGTGTTATACGATGGCAAAGTCATCACAAACTTTAGAACAGAAAACTTTGCATTTATACTAAAGTGTTGTGAGAAGACAACAGGATGGCACAGAAAAATGTTCTCTGCTGCTGGCTTTCATTTGTTCCTTTTTGTATAGAGTTTGTTTTTCACTTTCATTAAGGATAAATAATGCTTGTGTCTGGTATATATTTTGCCTGATGAACATTTTGTATAACTACTCTCCTTCTGCCCTTTCTTTGAACGGTGGTTGGTCAAGCAGTTCCTGACTTCTCAAAGATTGACCTTGGAGTGAAGCAGTAGAGGGTAAGTTAAAAATTGACCATAAGCATGCTTACTAAGAAGTAGGTTCCACTGCACCCCACTAGGACTTGAGTACTTACATGTTTGCTTAGGCTGCAGGGTCTGCCTGGTAGTTGATTGACAAACAATTTTTTAAAAGAAAGAGTTGCCACAAATTGCACACATTGACATAATGGTGTCAAATTGATGCAAATAGGCATGGCTAGAGAAGGAGGATTGGTCTGTTACTTTCAAGGGAGACAAGGGTAAGTTATCTCTTTATTAGACCGCTAAAATATCACAAGGCTCCCAGGGTGGAATAGTGGACAGAATGATGGACTCAGGAGGCCTGGGTTCGAATCCCCGCTCAATCATAGAAACAGACTGGAGGAGTGAAACTGGCAAAACCACTCTTCAAATATCTTGTTTATCTTGAAAGCCCTATTAGGGTTGGTATAAATCAGTTCCAACTTGATGGCACAAAACACACGGACACACATAAAATATTACAAGCAGAAGCTAGCTTTTTATTTGTACAGAAGGCTTCCTTGGCCTAAGCATTACAGGAAAAATATAAACGTTCCAAACATCATGGTTAAAGAAAGGTATAGGGCAGTTTCCTCTGTTTAAAGCAAGCTCCAAAATGGGGGGCTGCAGGATGAGTTCAGAGGTAGCAGGTTTCCGATTTCATCTCTGAGGATGTAGAGTAGTGGATGCACTAATGGGGCAGCATATAAACCAAATAAATACATTAAAGAAAGAAATAACATGCGTCTTCCAAACTTGCCAGTAACTCAGGACACACTCATTGCCTTATATATACTATGTGGTACCTTTTTGACTGCAAACAAAGGAACATAGCAATGTGACTAAGCATGATTGACAGTTATGGCTGAGGCTGATACACAAGTTAGAGGGCAACACATTTCTTGGGCACACATGTCTTTGCTGATTTTTACTAAATGATTCATTTGTCGACATTAATATATTCATTTAAATCAATTTTATTGGTATCCTGCCGCCCTCCCAAGTCAGGAACCCAGAGCACCTCTCATATCCTCTGTATAGTCCACCTGTCCTCCCGTGAACTCAAGGTGTCATCCAAAATTTTCTCTTCCCCACTTTCATCATCATAGGCATCCTTCAGTCTCGAGAGACTATGGTAACATGCTCTGAATCGAG